TATTCTAAAGTCACGGACTCATAAATGTATATTGACGCATCAACATCAGTTACTTCATTGTCATTCACAGATTCTAATTCGCGCATTGACTCTGCATTTTCAAATTCAATATTCAAAGATACAGTTTTGCATATACTAATACTGTACTTTACCCTGCGTGCAGAGTCTAGTTAAACTACAGACGAAGCTCTCTTTTAAGAAGTGAAGTCAAACGAATGCAAAGGGTAACTGTACTACTACAGCAACTAACAAAATATTTCCTTATGAAGAGAAGACTTTTCTTTGAAAGCCTTTAAATTGATTGATTTCTAAGTATAAATCTGTAAAGCAATTAAAACAAATTACTTAAAATGACTGAATTACAAATAAAATTATATGCACAATTTTCATTTAATATGAAAATAAAATAGAGATCTACACTCTTATTTATGGAAAACTAGCTATACATTTCCTGCCTTTATTTTGCAAATATTGATGCCATTTGATCATGAACTTTTGAATCCATCCCCAATATCATCCAAGAAAAGTGATAATCAAATGCATTGCAATTTAACAACATTATTTGTGCAATTCAAAGTAATTTAGATATTAAAAAATGTATAAGACCCACACTGATCAAAATTAATTAAAGAAATACATGTGTATTTCCTTATACTGAAATATATTTGAAGATTTTTAATACCCTTCACTTGCACGGCCAAAGATTTCGAATTTAAGGCTTTAGACTTAAGTTCAAGTCAAAATAAAGATAATTTATAGCTCTCTAAAGATATCTGAGAAATGCCAACATAGCTAACCTTTAACGAATAGCTAACCATTCAGGCTGCAACAGAACTAAATATAAGTCAGTCTTCAAGTATGCCAAAGTATAGGCAATAATCTCTTGCTGTAAGCTCAAATGATAGAAACGAGCACTATTAAAAGACTAAAAATAAGAAAACAAGTAATAAATAACTCTCTCAACTATCTGTTTTCCCATTATGCAGAGAAGAACCATCTCAAGTTTTCACACCACTTCAAAGTTAACTGCATTCCATTATAGCTGTTTGCGGCATTTATAGCCTTTAGCGTAGAATACCAAAACTGTTATTCACACTTGTCTGGAAGAATTTGTGTCTAGCAACAAGCCCTTGTTTGTTTGGATTATTCAACTTATTATTAAATCTTGCAAATACTAGCTATAATACTTCGGTGACAACTAGCAAAATATCATTATAACGTTATCATTATAACGAGTAGACCTTTCCGAATAGCTTGCAATAGATCTCAATGTTTCAAATATCCAAAAGAAAATAGGAGCATTTATGGTCAAACACGCCCATGAACATGTAAAAAGTGTTCAGCTCATGGGGCTATTTCTGGTCCAATAAAGTATAATATCTCTGACATGTTTCATTGGCAATTCACCAAACCAAAGCGATATGTAGAACTTTGAAAGAGTCATGATTGATTAATTTCTAAAACGACATTAATAGACATAAATCTGTAAAGCAATAAAAAACTACAATAACTTCAAATGACTGAATTTCATTGACCTTTACATATATATTACCATTGTATCAAAAAAGTGCTGACCTAACATATCCAAATATGTAATCAACAGAGTAACCAACAAAACAATTAATATGACATCTGCAATCTGAACCTGCTCTGGGCATTATTGAAAAACCAAAGAACTGATTGTCTTTGAAAATAACTGCAACAGCGCAAAAGTGTATCCTCCCCTCACACAACAAATGTGGCAACCAGTCCCATAGAAAAAAATTAATGCATTATATCATCGTGACGCCATTTCTTTGTGCTTCAAAGTTTATATATATAAATTGAATGATTGATTAAAAAAAACATATTGAAAATAAAACATTATGCAAATTTCAAAGCCAAAATTGATGTATGCCCAGACAAAATCAAAAACCATATTACCCGCCATATCAGCAAATGTCTTAGGGCTGATGTCTTAATGCAAATGTCTCTCAGGATGGGTTTCACTTCACTCTTGTGGTAGTCAGAGATGATGGGGTCGAAGGCGTCTTGGGATAAATCATAGGCCTCAGGGTCACACGCGTGAATACCAGTTCTAGAGGAAGGGTGTGCATGTTTCTATTTTCGTTCATTTTATAGATCGTAATGAACAAAATCATCGGGGATGAGAAAGTTGATGTATTACAAAATTTGGTTCTTCCGGCCAGTGTAAAAGGGTAGGAGGTCCAATCAAATTATGGTCCTACTCTCCATTGATTTATATGGTGACCTAAATACAACTCTTTCCCTTATTATCTTATACACAATCAGGGCCATTAAGGGCCGTTGAGAAAGGGGACCATAATCCCCGGGGGACCTTATGGGATAATTGAACTGATTTTGTATCTGATCTTAACTTTACATTGTTTTTATGACAAAATATCATATCGTCTATATAGTAATCTATTACATAACTCAGCAGTGGGACAGTCATACGAGCCAGTCATATACAGGGTGGTCCAAAAAAATGGGACACTCGTATTTCGAAAATAGATATTGATTTTTTTGATGAGAACATGTCATATTATATACCAGTGGATAGGGAATTTACTCATCTTTAATTTGATATATCATAAGTTCAAATTTATTTTAATGTCTGTCAACCAGCGTCCATAATATAAATGACGTCATTTTTGTTTCAAAACAGGTTTTCCAAAAGTAGCAAAAAACAAGTTTTATTGTTAAATTTATTTACATAAACGGATGTTCAATATGTCCACCATTTTGATCAAATGAGCTCATATCAGGATGGTCCAAAAACAACATAACTGGATCATCCGATGTCAATGTCTGCGACGTATACCGCGTATTTGGAGAACTAACAGAATTGGTTTACCATGAACCCCTTACATCTACTCAGTCCCTTAAGGACAGAATTATTGAAAAGTCGAATTCATTGTCTCAACAGCATGTCAATGACGCATTTGACCAGTTTAGGCCAAAATCATGGGCTATAATTGATCAAAATGGTGGGCATATTGAGCGTCTGTTTATGTTAATCAAGTTGACAAAAAACTTTTTACAAGTTTTGGAAAACCTGTTTTGAAACGAAAATGACGTCATTTATATTATGGACGCTGGTTGACAGACATTATAATAAATTTGAACTCATGGTATACCAAATTAAAGATAAGTAAATTCCCTATCCACTGGTATATAATATGTCATGTTTTCATCAAGAAAATCAATATCTACTTTCGAAATATAAGTGTCCCATTTTTTTGGACCACCCTGTACATGTAGTTTTTATGAACTTAACTCTATGGATTCATGATACCACGTATTGCATTCCGTCACTTAATCCAGGTAAGATTTAATTCCATATCGTCGTAATGATTTGTGTTACACGACTGATAACTTTTCTCTCTGTTCTTTCGATTCCGCGCATGGACGATTTTCTTTTTTGATTCAGGCACGTCTGTAGGTAGCTTTACTGTCTGTGTATGCTTACAGTTATTTTCTATATAATTCCTTCTTGAATTAAAACAATGATATGGGGAAACCTTTTGGAATAAGTGAGTACTGTCTATCACCTTTCATATATTGGATAGAGAAGGAGCTTGAGAAGTATTCTGGTCATATACAAGCATGTTACCAACCCCCCTTTCTTTTCCCACTGATATTCTAGTGGGGAGGGGGTCAGAAAGACTTGTAGCCAGACTACGAATAAGTGAGAGCTGGCCATTGACCAATGTTGACGGAAATACGTCCATTTAACATAAATAGGTAACTATGGGAAATGCTAGGTTATCGTTTGGTTATATTAGCTGAGATATCTTATGTCAAAGACTGAAGAAACAAATATCAGATGTTAAGAACAAGAGAAACATAAACATTAATGTGATATTCACACAAAATGAGTCGCAACATGAATTGACAGACTGGTTGCAATTTTGATTTTTTAATTTTTTGTTCAGATATTTTTGGGGGAATTAAAGCATTAGTATACATTATTTAAGGAATAAAGACCGAGATTTTATGATTTATGGCGTAATATATGACCGAAAATTTTATTCTGTTAATTGTTAAAAGACCGAAATCACGTAGCGATTGAGGTCTTTGGCAATGGCCAGAATAAGATTTGAGGTCATATATTTGACACAAATCATAAAATCGAGGTCTTTGTTACGATTCTAATATGATAAACAGACAAGAAACACAACTATTTGCATTTAAGAATTTTAGTGGTCATACATACTCCAATATAGACCAACAAATCAATTGTTCTAGCCAGTGTGACGTCACGTATCATAATAGAATTTTGTTTATATTGTACAAAATAAACCATGGTATATTGATGTATTTATTACTTTTGAAGGCAAAACCTTGCGAAAATATTCAAAATGGCCGTCAAAAACTATTCAATGACGTGCATGTAGACAATTTTTATTATAAAAACAAAAATAAAATATAATAAACATTGTAAACAGGTACTTATTCTTACTCTTATGCATATTTATTCCTTTAAAGGGGTTAACTGTGTGTCAAAACGCAACATATTGATGCAACGGAAATTAAAAAGTAGGGTTGGAAATCAGGTCAATATTTCAGAAAAAACACGTGGGTGGGTTGTTTGCATCTTCCCTGTCTCAAAGTCGAAATTATCTTATCATCGTTATGAGTGCTTTTCCTGGAGGTAATGCATTGACCTTACATATGCACCAGTTTAAATTCACAGAAAATAGCCAACATCCAACATATGCCTGTCCGGAATCTGTTGCAATACTTTCCCTCCTCCTTTCCCCAAGCCTGAAACAAGCTTGATTTAACACTGAACTAAACAAAGGGCAAGTATTGGTTTATCAATGCTTGAAACAATCAATGTTGAATTAATGTTGATTTTTCATTAATTCAACATTGAGAAATGTTTGCTGTGTCTACCATATTTGCTTTTTTCTATAAAAATATTGTAGCTAAGTTTTCGGGAAAATCAAGGAAACTAAATGAACGACAAAATGGCATCTTTCTAATAAACTTACTCATCACGATAACTCCAATAGCACCCGCACGTTCAGCATTGTAGGCCTGGAAAAACGAATGGAATCGATCTGTCCAATGCGTATAAAAAACGCAACATATCTAGGAAAAGCAAAACCAGTGATAACAGCATTGATTTCATTAAATGTACCATAAAGCCACGTGTCTCCTCTTTCCAATGGTATATCATTCGTTGATATTGGGTCATGGTTGGGCGAGTAATCATAATTTTTGCAAAGTGGGTCAACATTAGCTTGGGACCAATTTATAAACATCGCGAAAGTCAATGTACGGCATTGGAAGAAAACATAAAACCAATGATGACTGCATCCTTTTCATTCAATGTACCAAAAAGCCAAATTACTCCTCTTTGCAATGGAATGTCTTCATTCACAGGGAGCCATGGCTGGCCGAATAATCATTATTTCGCAAAATGGGGCAAAATTCAGCTCGGGCCCAAGTTTTTAACATTGCAAAAGCTAGTGTATGGGGCATAGGGGGTATTGGAAGAAGGTGTGGCAGGTGTGACATAGTCTGTAAAGTGTTTATACTCATACTCTTGTAAGAATACATCCTACACCCCTCCAAATTGCCACCACTTCTTAGCACACAAAGATACCCTCATCTATCCATGCCATTCACGGCTTAGCTCTAAATCATATGTTGGTTAATGCGGAGAAAAGCAACCCATTGGCATTTCTTTCTCCAAGTTTTGCAATATCTGGTGGAGGAATGGTGACCACAGATGCTCCTGAGATAGCTCCAAAATAAAATGTTACAACAATACAAGCCAGATGAACTTCCATTGGCACTCAGCCCTTTCTCTGATTTTTGCAATATCTGAAACTTGGTCCAGAGCCGATTTCGACCAACTGTGAAAATGAGAGATTTCTCCCCCAAGCATGAGCACATGTGAATGAATGACATATCATTGCAAAGAGGAGGGACGAGGCTTTATGGTACATTGAACTAGATAAACAGCAACTCCACGGAGTAGCAAACACTGTGAAAAAAAGCCAAATATAGTTTGTACTATAGCAAACTATTTTTTAGAATAACCCCCATATAGTTTGAATTCCACCTAAAATATGGGCGAGAATAGTTTCTCCCATATTCCTAAAAACGGAACACTTTAATATAAGTCCTGATATACTCTCCGGTACGCTCATATAAACTAAAATAAGTTGCATATATCATTGCAGAGTGTATATCTTTACTGAACTATTTTCGACTTATACGCCTCAAAGTAGGAATCAAACCTACTATATGCGGTGAAAAACAAATTATATTAAATAAAAACAGACTATATCAAACTATACTTGACTTATTCTTCTCTTATTCTACCTAAAAACAAACTATACGCGTCTTATACGCGATATTACGTAATAGCTTCAGTTCCCGAGTTTGTTGTTTTAACAGATTAAAAGCAAAGTCCAGCATTGAATGTATTTTGTTTTCAATGCTAATTAATTCGCTTGTTCAGATTAATCTGGTCATTTCTATAACTGAGGGTTCTAATTTCCATCAAAAAGTCATTTATAAATTAAGCTTTTTACTTTTACTAAATTGGACAATGACAGTCGAATTATAATTAACACAGTGTTAAATTTTGGATTCATTTCATTAAGTCTGTGGAAAGTTACATTTTTCAATTCACTTGGTATTGAAGTAAAAATAATATAGAATAAAATGTTTAATATAGTTGCAATAAGAGGGAATCGTAGATAATATTTTTTCCTGTATGGTAGCCAGTTATTTCCTGTATTATAGGGGAATAAGATATAATAACTATTTAAAAAAATCGTGTATTATTTGAAGGGAACAACATATAATGCCATATAATATAGAATAATATCCAAGTCAGGAGCAAATAATATGTCGGCATTTCCATTCCTATGAAATGAGTTTCCTTCACACTAATTAATCCGTTTGTTAGGATTAATTTCTACAGCTGATGGTTCTTATTTCTCAAAAATTCCACCGAAAAAAACATATAATGCTTATTATAGCTAGTGTAAATGTCGAAATGTTTGTGAACTTTGTGATAGAAGCATGAAATTTGGCACAAAGTTAATTTATACCATTGTGAACTAGGCATCATCATATAAAATTTGAACCAAATCCGTTCACTGGTCTCTGAGTTATCAAATATTACGTTTTTTACGAATGTGGGCCGCCATCTTAAAATTCAGCCGCCATCTTAAAAATTATTTCTTGAACAGAGCTACTGTGTCCATAGGCATAATCATATAATATTTCAACCAAATCTGTTCACTGGTATTTGAGTTATCAAAGATTACGTTTTTTACGAAAGATTGCCGCCATTTTAAAATTAAGCAGCCATCTTGAAAATGTTTTGTCGAACATAGCTACTGTGTCCCTGAGCATCATCATATAAAATTTGACCCAAATCCGTTCACTGGTATTTGAGTTATCAAAGATCACATAATTCCGAAAAATGGCCGCCATTTTTAAATTAAGCGGCCATCTTGAAAATCTATTTTTGTGCGAAACTACTTTGTCCCTAGGCATCAGCATATAAAATTTCAACCAAATCTGTTCACTGGTATTTGAGTTATCAAAGATTACGTTTTATACGAAAAATTGCCGCCATTTTGAAATTAAGTGGCCATCTTGAAAATTTTTTTTTAACATAGCAACTGTGTCCCTAAGCATCATCATATGAAATTTGAACCAAATCCGTTCACTGGTACTTGGGTTATCAAAGATTACATATTTTTACGAAAAATGGCCGCCATTTTAAAATTAAGCGGCCATCTTGGAAATTTATTTTTGTGCAAATTTCCTTTGTCCCTAGGCATCAGCATATAAAATTTGAACCAAATCTGTCAACTTGTATTTGAGTTATCAACGATTACATTTTTTACGAAAAATAGCGGCTTTTTTGAATTGAGCAGCCATATTGAAAATTCCTTCTCGAGCAGAGGTCCTACCCTCATAAGGCATAAGCCTATAAAATTTGAATCAAATCCGTGAAATGGTATTTGAGTTATCGCCCGGACAAACAGACGGACGGACGGAATGACGGCCGAACGGACGGACGGACGGCTTCCCTATATCCCTCTCGAACTTCGTTCGGTGGGATAATCTAATTGATGTAGGCATCACTAGTTTTGTGATTTAACTGCTTATTGCGTTTTTTATACGCCCTGTATATCTCATCATTATTAAGCAATAGCTGAATGTATGACTCCGAAGTATGAAGAACAGGTGGCACACTATTTAGCGAAATAATATATAAACCAATAATTAAGGAGGTACATATATCGTGATTTTTTTAAAAATATTGTTTACTTGAAAAAACGTCTGGCTTTCGAATCAAAACACATCATCACTCACAAAGGATAGAAAAAATAAAAACCATTCGAGTTTAATTCATTTTATAAGACTTAGACCATAAATGAAAGCACATATACGATCTAGATGATTTGTTTGTTTGCTAAAAAAACAAAAAAATAAAAAAGAGCAGGGCACTGAATAAAACATATAATGCTTGTTTGTTTTGTCGTTGGTTAGACCGCGTTTATGACGTCACATCCGATGCAAAGAAACTTAAAATTAAACCAATCAGCGAGGCCGGTTTTGACAATTTGCTTGTTTTGCACCCTTGCATAAATCGTCAATTTATCAAAATAACTCAAGTTGATCAAATCTAAACAAGTACATTCATTGTAGGTTAGTATTGCTTTTATCCATTTATTTTTAAATCCTTTTTAATTGATATAACATTGTGACGATCCTGATATATCTTGGGTTTGGGTAATGTGAGACATGAGTTTCTACCTTTTGAATATCATATTCGATATTCTTTCTTAAACCCTTATATTTGATGTTTTGGAGTGGTAATTTAGTTATTTACCTATATTTCATTATTTTCCCATAGTTGAGCTCAAATCTGTTACGTAACATATAAACATAGGTATGCTATTTTGCAAATGCGTGGAAAAAGGTGATATCTGTGGAATACGGAGAATATTTCAGATAACTCTTTTTCCATAGATTACTACCAACTACCAACAATATGATGTGTTTTGTTATGTCTGAAATTGAATCAATAGTCATATATTACACAATTACACTTAAAGTTTAGCCATTACTAACCTACATAGAACCTACCAAAATAGAATTTGTTTTTTGCCAATATTGCCCTATGATTCAAATGGTTTGTATTTATACATTATTTACTAGACAACAATAAATAATGACAATTTGTAAAAAAACACCAAAAGGTACATGATTTTTAACTTACTGCTGTGTGAACATCAAAGGTCAAAAATCGCTGAAATTGTATTTTATGAAACACATTTCACATTAGATCACATTTGGTCTACGGCAACATATTACGGCGACCGAACTTCATAAAATCGTTAAGGTTGTCGTTGATCAAATGAGGTATTACTCACCTTAGAAGTGAAACTGCACATGCCTCAAATAAAATAAGATATACAATGTATCTCTAATTAAATATTACAGATGTTAATTGAAATGTTTCAAAAGACATATCTAGTATTGTAGTAAGAAGCATGTGTTATCGAGCGCCTTGCATTTTTTCGACTTTGTATCCGTTTTTGCAGAAGATAATAACGTTCATGGATTCCATCAAAGCCTCTTGTCACTACACCAAATAATTTAAGTCGAGGTAAGGTCATTCAAAATTGTAGAACTGTCATAAATTCACACTATTCATTCCCAGATCCACCTCCATTATAACAACATTGATACCTCACCTTATAAATGAAATTACAAGTGCCCCGCTTGACAACGGCAATTTTACCAACGATGTCACAAGGGTTGTTGAGAGGATAGCATGCCTCTGCAGTGTCAGTGACGACGAGAGTGCCCTGGAACTGAAATCAATCTAATATTAAAAATTGTCGACTTTCACAAAGGGAGAATAGATATAGTTCTATATTTTAATGGCCCCCTGATTACTAATTTCATTTTTTACAATTTTCTTGGCAATGGCACATTAAATTGCATAAGCTACTAAGCGGTAGCTTTAAAAGAGGAATGATCAGCTTGAAAACTTCTTTTTGGTGAAAATTCAGAGCTCGAAGAATTTTAATAAATCATATTAGTGTTAACAATTTGGACATATACATCATGATGCCTGTCTGAAAACTATTCTCAATAAAAATATTTATTTTCTTACAGTAACGTCTTGTCCAAATAGCTCTCCAAACTTGGCTGGAATGGCGTCAAGTACATCAACTTCTGTCCCAATGTTGTCAATAAGCGTGATGGAACGAGACGTCGATGCTGCAAAAAACATTTTGTTATTGATATGAAAACTAACAAATCGAGTTTTGGAAATCCACATGTATATTCTAATATTTGCCATTAACTCAAACCTACTACAAGTACGACATCTATCTTTAGATACAAAAGTTGTATGTGCCTATGGAGAATCAAAGATCATGATCATTACATACATGTACATATTACATAACAATTTTGATGAAGCGAATATATAAGCGCAAAAGCCAAAAGGAATGGTGACTAAAAACTTTAAAGAAACCCAACAAGAAAAGCAAACTGTAAGTGTAAATCTGTCATAAGAAAAGTAGACACTATATATTCCAAAACCATTATCCAACGTGAAAAGAAACAATGTCTAACATCCCCCTCCCCTCGAATCGAGAACCAATATCACAATCCAGGACCAGAACACCAAGGGACATTTCATTCATACTGATGTCATTACAATACATGTTAAGAAAAATGGATAACCAATACTCATAACATCAAAAAGCTAGAGGATTTAGCCGAAAAGTTTGAAATGAACTAATACTTTTTTTCAATCTACGCCAAATTTACAAAATCACATCAGGAAAACTTGAAATGTACTTACATACAAGCTGAAAATAATTTAACCAAATTATTAAAGCCTCAGCAATCATCAATCTCGCCATACTTGTGACTCTTTAGGTTGTTTAGGTTGCTTTTAATTTCTCCAAACTGTATTATAGCGTATTGTACAACTAATGTGGCGTCGCAGTACTGGTAAACGTAGGCGAGTTTCACTGATTTTATACCCTAATTTGTATCGATTTGTTAAAATAGTCATCCACACATTTATCACTGGTTGTCATCGTATTAACGGGTGTCATTGTGATGTTATGCCATTTATAGTTATATAGCTGATTTTCTATGATACATACTTTAAACAAGCTCGTTTCGTAAGGTATTTGGAGCCAAAAACATGTATGGCACACATAACTTTCTTCAGAAAGGATTATACTGTTGACGCTAACGTGAAATTGCAACGTTCTAAACACTTTGTACTCAAACCATTTTACTCGATTTAGATATATTTATGCTATTTTACCGTATGAAGGCCACACTTTACGATGGTGAACCATCAACAATTCCAAAAGAGCATTTATCATGATATCGGGGATATAAAGGCAGTACGTGTCTGTTTTCGCGGCAAAACTGATTTCATATTCAGAGCAGAAATGTTGCGTCACGTGATATGACGTGTGTGGTTGAAACAATTTGCCGCGAAAAACGATTTTGTAAATAAAAATGAAACACTGGCTTTCAAAAACGAGTTATTCGCTTTTATGTTGAGCCAATTATTGCGTGATTGGGGCTATTCTCAGTAATTTTGCGAAGATTATAATATCATTTGCAATTGAGCCCGGAATCAATCGAGCTGAAACGCTATTGAAAGTTACAAAACAGCAAATATTGCAGTTCTCGGGGATTAGAACTTTTATACCAGAATGTAATGCTGTAAAACCAAATATGATTATTGGGTTAATATCGGGTGGATAAAAAAAACGTCCCGAACTTTGAGATTTAATATCTCAGAAACTAAAAATAGTATATAAGTGAAACTTTCAGTATTATAACTTCATCCTATTGCTTTTAAGACCTGAACGTTTCAATACCTTTAGTACCTTTAGTATTACGAACATAACGTTAAAAATAAAAAGTATGGTCAAAAAATGAAATACCGGGCTATAAAGTTATGACGTCTTACCCGGGAACCTTCATCTGACACTTGTCAACCAGCTGTTGAGTTGTAAATGTGTCTTCTTGGAATAGAAAAAAACAGTTATATGTTGTTTAGCTACATTGTAGACATTGCCCAGTCAAAATATGCATTCCTGAAAGTCCATTGGTGTACTGTTTTGCAATACTGTACTGCAGATCAGGTCAAAAAGTGCAACGTTGCTACATTGTAGTCTTTGCTAAAAGTTATTCATATCACATTCACTAGTCTTCCGAAGATTACTGTCAAGTTGCCATCATGGTGTTCAGCAAGACTGATAAGTCAATAATTGAGGCATGTTTCATTGAAAAGGGATGGAAGGGAGCATGTATTGCTCTGGAATTTCTGGAAGAAAAGGCTTCGAGCAGTGTGTAGTGAGGATGGGGGCCCCATTGATCATTTATTTTAACGTTCAAGGTAAGACGTCATAACTTTATAGCCCGGTATTTCATTTATGGACCATACTTTTTATTTTTAATGTTTTGCTCTTAATACTTAGGTATTGCATTGAAACTTTTAGGTCTTAGAGGCAATAGAATGAAGTTATGAGACTGAAAGTTTCACTTATATACTATTTATAGTTTCTGAGATATTAACTCTCAAAGTTCGGGACGTTTTTTTTATCCACCCGATATTTACAGCTACCAATACACGGTTTAACAAATGGATTTCAATCAATTCCTATTGCATATGCAATGAATAATATTGCAATGCTCTTTCCCACGGTGGGGATTGTCATCACGTGACCTTCGTAATTGATGGTGTCTGAACAAGCTGTACGATTTTCTCGATTAAGCCAGATAAATGAATATTTTTCATATTTATATTTTGTTAACAGCGTCAAATTTCTCCCCACTTATGTATACTATCTCAGTCTTTCAAATGAACTTAAATTGACAAGCACAGAACGTATATTATTTGAGATATGACTGTTTTTCGTTTCGAAAAATGATGGTGTCTGAACAACTCTAAAATTCTGTATGATGGTGTCTGTACAAATTTTTGAATACACGACATGAATACCAGTCTCCATGTTTTCATGTGTAATTGTTTATTATATACTATGCATTCCTGTACTCTCGTATATTCAAGGCTTTGTATAAAAACCTAGTACCTCGTTCCCACGACCCGACCCACGTACGTGGGGCATGATACAGTCTTTGAAGGGTTCAATTTTTTAAATATAAGATCATTCAATCTTCGTCTATGCTGAATTGTAAATGCATTAGTGCACGTCGAAAAAAGGCGAACGCATTCCGTTCGGACTTTTCAAGCTAGTTTAGTTTTTATGGTTCCTTTATTTAAACAGTCATATGTGTATACTTGTACGTCGAGCATTTTCTTCGAAATATTTTGTACCATTTTGGATGTTGACTTTACTCGTGCTACAAATGTACAAAGTGGATTAAGAATACGAGGGTCGTCCCAGAAGTAATGCACTATATGCTATAACTTTATTGAATATTCTTTAATTCAGCTGAAAGTTTGTGTATATAACAATTGAAGTTTTATCTATTATATCCTGAAGTTTCAGCATCAAATATTAATATTAAGTCTTAATATGGTTGCTATAGCAACATGGGGGTAGGGGTTGGCGGGGCAGGTACCAATTTATCTAATTATGAAAAGATCCAAAGTGTTATTTTATTAATATTTCTTTCTTTTAAATGATCAAAATGTTTCGGAAATTGTTAAATTTATTCAGCATGATGTTGGCCAAGTACAAATAATGACATTTAGCACTGTCATGTCATAATACCACAGTTCAATAGTCACAAAGTCAAATATAGTCGCAGTCAAGAAATTGCAAAATGGCTGCAATTCTTACCTGATAACAGAAGGCCTTGCGTTTGGTGGCCTAATTTCATACTTCACTTGGACTCACAGCCACGCATAACTGATGCTACCATGAAGAAAGTATAAAAGGAGTATATACCAGATAGAACTACACTTATGAGGCGGCAGAAGAGATTTAAAAGAGATGACTGGACCCTGGATGACAACTCCAAACATGGGAGGCAAAAACTCCACAAGTCACAGTGGAAGAAATTGCCAAGTGTTTTTTCCTGACAGGCATCAAAAGTTCATAACATGCAAAGGGCAATATTTTAAGAAAATGTGAAATGGGACACTGTGCAATATACATCCATTAAATCTAGGATGTGCTCATAGTAATTTAGTATCTTAAAATGTATTTTTGAGCATACTTCTTATAGCTACACAAAATGGTATTTGTTGATCAATTATTTCATATTTTTAATTTTTTATTCATTTTGACGTGACTGCATAACCTGCCCCGCCCTACCAAAACTCACCAACTTGATTTTATGATAACATCAATATAGTTTTATCAGTCAATATGAAAATTTGTAGATTAATCAAAGTGTCTCTGAGGAACATTTACTGAAAATTTCATGAAAAAATATCAATTATTGATAAAGTAAGAACATATAGTGCATTACTTCTGGGACAACCCTCGTACACTCTTAAAAATGAATTACAATGAGTATGTCCCAAGTATAAAAATTACTTAAAGTTAAATACTTAGTTTTACTTCATTTTACTTAGGTTTAACTTATATTGTCATTTTGAGTTTTTTAATTGCTTAATTGTGTAAATGAGTATTACAATTACTACAAAGTCGTGACCATTTAAAAAGAGAATGAACCGTTTAGTCCCTTTTTGAAAACCCAAAAACGTAAAAACAGCAGTGAATTTCATGAATTTCAACCGTCAATGTTTTATTATCATATTAGATTTACAATATTTATACAAAGTATATGAATATTTCATCAAACCAGATAAAGGTAAAATCATTTTATCAATACATATTCATGTTGATGTCTAGTAAAATTGTGTTTCTTCTTATCGTATAGAATTTTCTATGTAGCTTCTAACTAGACTTACAAATAAACTATTCTCAGATAGAAATTTCTATACAAAATATTCCATTGTCTTTCCGTATAGAAATTTCTATGCAGATGACTCTGGAAATATCAATTTTTGTCATTTTAATTGGTTATCGGTATAGAAATTTCTATGTGAAGGCCGTCGGAAAATAATAATTATGTTACTGGTAAAACATTTCTCCTCGTATAGAAATTTCTATATTGATAAAGTCAAAAATAAAAATTGAAACGCTTCATAGAAATTTCTATATATATGGGTGCATATTTAAATTATGTTTGCTGGTATAGAAATTTCTATAAGGATAGAGTAGAAAAATCAAAATCGAAACGCTGTATAGAAATTTCTATGTGGCCCAGAAAAATTATTTTCCTAGATTGCCTGCTGTATAGAAATTTCTATATGGTCAAAAATATAAATTGAATGCCTATATAGAGATTTCTATGCGGGTGTAGTCGAAAACCTTTGGTGCTCAAAAATTAAGTTTGTCCGTATAGAAATTGCTATATGGATAAATTCCAAAAATTAAAATCGAATAATTATATAAAGAATGTTTGTAATTAGTCTTAAATTTTCGGCCTATTGTAATAGTATTTGAAATAGTATTTGAAAATATTTGGAGGTATAGCCAATGCAGTCAAATTACATCACAGCCAGAAAAATTATTGATTTACATGGTTTTTTGTCGCTGAAAGTTATGAAAATTAAAAATAAAACATTGAGTGGCTCTGGCACATGGGGAAAAGGTTTAAGGATTTAAGCCCTTGACTGAGTGCAATGTAGAATGATCATTCTTTGAAGATGTTGGTAATTACAAAATGCATCGAGTCTCGGGCTTAAATTCTTTTCACACATTGCAAAATAGTTTTACCATGTCACCTAAAAGATACGAAATCACTAAAATGACATATTTTAAATGAAACTTTTTGCAAGGGTCAAGTTGGCAAACCACCAATTTTTATCTGTTGAGTGAACTTGTCACCTTTGCAACCACCTAAGGAATGACCTTGGATGCGTTATTGGTTATTTCACGCACAATGCGTTATGTGAAATACTGTGTTCGGATTGGCTGAAA